CCCCCGCCCCTCCTCCTGCCCCCAGCTCATGGAATCATACGGCACCCGCCCGCTGTCCCTCCGCTTCTGCCTCTCCTCCCCCTCCTCCGCCAGCCGCCGCGGCGCCCGCGGCTGCCCCGCGGCCCCCTGCCCCGGCCAGTCGTCCGCCAGCGCTGCCCCCCAGTCCTCGTCCACGCGCTGCAGCGACACCAAGTACAGCTGCTGCCCCTCAAGGCACCCGCCGTCGCCGCCGCCGCCGCCATCAACATCACCACCACCACTGTCGCCGCCGCCGGAGCCGCGCAGTGCGACGCCCAGCGGGCAGCCGACGGGCAGCGCGTCCGCGTCGACGTGGTCGTGAGAAGCTGGGCGGAAGGTGAGCGTGAAGATGCCGTCGGCGTCGGCGCTGCCGCGGAGCTTCACGCGCTCCACGCCAAACGCGCGGCGCGTGATGGCCATGACCTGATTTGGGTGCGGCCATGGTGGCGTGCGGGATTGCGTGCAAGAGGTGCGTGTCGTAGGGACAGGGGCGGCAGGCTGCACGGCTGCCTGAGCTTTGCACGCGCGGGCGCTTCAGTCAGGTGGTCTGCCCTGCGACGCCAGTTGTTTTGGGGCCTTCCATGCGCACCCCGAACCCGCGGTGCGCATCAGCGCGCACGCCAGGCGCGAGAGGCGGCAGCGCCGCGCCGCGGCGAGGCCGCGATCGCAGAGGCGGCGTGTTTGGATGGTTCATGGGGGGGGCAAGGGAGCAGGCTTTGCGCGAGTGCGCCAGTGCGCACCTGCAGGCCGCGCCAGAAGACGGTGCGGCGCCCCAGCGGCACCAGCACGTTGCGCAGCGACAGCTCCGCCGCGTCCTCCGCGCCCAGGCCGGCCGTCTCCAGGAACGCCGGGTTGGCGTACAGCACGCGCCACCTGGCGGTGCGGGGCGCCAGGGACGCGGACGTTCAGGCGTGTGGCAGCGGCGGCGCGCCTGCGGCCCACGGCCCAAAGTCCACGGCCCACAGTCCACGGCCCACAGTCCACGGCCCACAGTCCACGGCCCACAGTCCACGGCCCACAGTCCACGGCCCACGGCTCACGGCCCACAGTCCACGGCCCACAGACAGCGCAGCCCCAAGGCAAGGAGGCCAGCCACAGGTGGCTCTTGCGGAGCAGATTCCAGTGCATTGTGAACCGCGGCTGCGCACCCCTGATCTGCGACGTCGACCACCGCCAGTGCCGCGTCCGCCGCGTCCAGCGGCCGAGCCCAGTGGCGG